GTCATTGTTTCAAAGAGGGATGAGTGGTTATGTTGCTTAACTTCTTTGCTTCTGTAGAACTTAAAATGATCCCATCTGCCCCCATATCCCATAGCCTCATAAGCTAGGTGGCCAAAGGCGCCTTCATAGCTTGTTTAAATGTCTTCCCCAGTTCTAATAGTTCTGGTGCTGAGTATTCTTTTATTACCATGGTATCCTGCACCAGGCTATGTTAAGACCTCCGTCAGCATGTTGGACCATGGATTTTCCCTTCCTTTGAATTAAAGGTCGAACCCAAGGAGCATCTCCCACTATCTCTAGGTCAGTCACTTCCTTCTTCCTCACTACCCGACTCTTCCCAGGGGTTCCAGGTTTTAAGATCCCAGGATGGGCCTTTTATTACCATTCTGATCTGGGCTTTTTTTCCCTTTTGACGTCCTAGATATAAAAAACGGCTTGCCAACACCTCCATCTCCTTTTCTCTCTTATCTAATTTACCAGCAAGGTCAGAGGCCAGTACTGAAGAGGCCAGCCTCATATCCCTCTCCTGCTCTAATTCATCTCTCACACCTTCAGTTTCCCTTCGGGCTAAGACATCCACTTGGGACAGATTTCTTATTACCAATAACAGTGGCCAAGTGGCCTCTGCAGCCGCTTATTGACATGCTGTCCCCTGTGTGCTACTCCCAGAGCTTGCAGAATCTGTTCCGGACCTTCTGCTGTTTTCAAGGCATCTTCATACTCACTTGGTGGCCCCCACCGGTCAAGCAGGCATGCCACCCCATACCATGTACAAGATGGCTGCCACTCTGGGATTTCTCCCATTGACCTTGACTGCTTAGAAGGCCTCACCCTACTTGTACATCTCACTGTCCACTGCATTAACCATGCCACTGCAGACACCCCCACCAAGCCTATGGGAATGGCCCCCCACCAGGTTAACATTTCTTCAGCCCACACTCTCCCCTCACCCCACTTTACTTCAGTTGTTGGTCTCTTTCCCCATATCAGGGACATCATCAACACTCTTCCAAAACTCATTCTCATTTTTGTTGTATCCTGCTGACCACTATGCCAATTGTGAGTCAAATTCACTGCTGGGAGGTGCACTTGGCATCCAGTCCCCTCCTCCCACAGTCCTTGTGACAACCTGAGAAAAGAATCCTCCAAACCCCAGTTTGTAGAATCTTAACAAGTTTATTGGACTTGCTAACTGAGCTTGGGGCGCGGGTTTACTTACAGAAGAGTGGGCATGTACCCATTCACAGCTGTGTTTGAAAGTCTACACCCAAACATAAATCTTGTGTTTCCCGACAGCCTCCCAAAATGGCGAGAGGCTGGCCTTGTGGTTTTCCCAGCTTTTATACCCTTAGTCCCTCCCCTGCAAGCAGCTAAGGTCAACCAATTGGCTGGAAGAGGTAAGGGGAGTACTTCCTTTGCAGAGTGTGGGAAGGAGGCAGGACCATGGCTCATCATCACAGGGTCAGAGGAACATCTGGGTCACAATTTTTCTTTTGGAGTCTGTGTCCTGGGCTTTCTCTAGGGGGTTTTGATTCTAAATCTCTTCTATAGAACTGTTCATGCTTGGCGAGGACATATTATTTGGGTTTTTCATGTTATTTTTTTGTGACTGTGGCATGTGGATTTCTTTTGTTGTTTCTGATTCTTGTGTGAGACTCAAGCCTTCCTTTGTTGAGTTTAGGTCTGTTTCTCTTTGTATACTTGATGTGCCTTTGTTGTTTTCTTATTTGGTATGAAAAGCTGGTTGGTCTAGGCTTCAGGTTCTCTCTTTTGATTTTATACTCGATGGGCCTGATGGCTTTAGTCCAGCCGCACAGGAGTTCCCACAGAAGCCCAAGTTGGATGAGGATCAGATGCTCTCAGGTTTCCTCCTAAGGTCTGGGTCCCTCTAGCTATCAAGCCCAGTAAAATTTGGGAGGCTTGCTAGGAAGATTCAGGTGACCTTAGGAAGTCAGGGAAGGAGGCTTGCCTCATGAATCCCAGGCATGTTGGGAGTGGCGACAGCCAGGGTAGAAGGCTGGTCCCAGGTGTGCAAAGGCAAGTTGGGTCTGGGTACAAAGGATCAGGATGCAGTGAGCGGGTCTGAACCAAGAGGGTAGTCCAGAGTTCTGGAGTGCTAAGAGCAGAAGCAGGCCTGTGATCATGGCTAGAAGCAACCAGGATGTGGGGGCTGGGAGACTGAATCAGGTTGTGGGATTCAAGGTGCAGTGAATGGGGTCAAACTTACCAGGGAAGGAGCTGGTCTCAGGCATGTTGGGGAAGGCTGGTCTCAGGTGTACAAAGGCAAGATGAGTGTGGGGCAGTCTGGGAAGTCTCTAGGGAACTAGACTGAGGACTTGGGTTGGTTTGGGTGCAAAGGATCAGAATGCAGCAGGCGGATCTGGGACAAGAGGGTAGCCCAGGGGTCTGGGGTGTGAAGGGCAGAAGCAGGCCTGTACCCATGGCTAGAAGACCAGGATCCAGTATTTTATTTCTTGTCAAAGAAAAACTCTAGAGGACTTCTAGGTCAAATGTCTGAGGAAAATCTGCCTCCTTTTGAATCAGTGAAAGAGTAGAGTCAGGTTAAGAAAAAAACAAAACTGTATTCCAAAGAGAGAAAAAGAGGAAGACCTTCAGGAAATCACACAGGCAGTGACTGAACCCCTGAAAAGTTCAGGGAAAAAGATTGGAAAAACACAGAAAAGAGCCAAGGCTAACAAGCTCTAGCCATGGGGCTCCCTGGCTGGGGAGGGAAGAAGAAACTTGATGCGGAAGGTAAGCCAGACGGCCCAGGTGAAAAGAGACTGGCAGCCATACCTCAGGACACGGGACAAGCCCACAGCCTTCTCAGGCTTTCACCGTGGGCTTTGCAGATTCCTGTGGTCTATCAGTTAACAGCACAGAGGAATCCCATTTTGACACTCTGTATCGTCGTTTCTTAAACTGTGGGTCAGAACAACTCATGGGGAAGGAACTGAATGTGGGGCTGCCAAATTTTGGGGCAACAATGAAAAGTTTCTGAACGTGAAATGACCACGAATTGCTTCATGATGTGTGGTGATTCTGAGGTGTGTCTGGAAGTGCTCACCCATGTTGCATCCTTTGTTGTAGTTTTGTTTTTGAACACACAACTATGCACTTTGTTCTGTGCATGCTGGGAAACCACACAATGCCAGTGACTCTGCCTGAAACACTTCCGTTCAGATTCTAGACTCCTTAGTGATATTCATTAGTGTTTTTTACTTTACGTACAGTTTTCTGTTCTTATGGAAATATAATAGTTTAGCCACCCAATACAAAGATTTGTAATAGTCACCTATTTTCACAGCTCAACATATCTTGCATTACTATATCTTTGCACTGCGTGAGAATATTTTATTTTAAAGTTGTTTGCATTGCTCTCTTGAGTTTCAAAAAAAGTTAAATGAGGGGCTGTGGAGATGGTTCAGGAAGTGAGAGTGCTTGGTGTGCAATCATGAGACCCGAGTTAGAATCTGAAGCACCCACATAAAAAGTCAGGTGTGACCACAAGTGTGCATGTCATTGTCGCATCAGAGACAGGAGAATTGTTGGTGTCTGAATGCCAACCCTGCTCTAGTTTCAATGAGAGATCCTGTTTCAAGGGAATAAGGTGGGGTGTGATAGAACCTGACATCTCCCTCTAGCTTCCATATATACATGCACATAACCCTTAAACATACAACACCTACACACACACACACACACACACACACACACACACACAACTATTAAATAAAATTTGACTTTGTGAGACAAAACATATTTCTTCAATTTCATACTACAAACTCATGGAGGAAGGCATTCTCAGGTTTGAAGATTATAAAATCAACATATTGATCAATCTTAAGTTGTTGAGGAAACTCTATGCTTTGCAGTATCAAATTTTATCAAGATTTAATTATTCTTTATATCAAAATAAACAAACGCATCCATCTCATAAATATATAAATTTTCTTTCATCTTTAATAAACAAAACTAAATATATACCAAGTAATTGCTCTAAAATACATTTCTATATGATTTATTTGTTTGATTTGTGCATTATTTTATATATCTATATACCCAGTCATATAAAAAAGATTGAAACCAAAAGGATTGTGGGTAGAAAAGATTTAGGAAGCCCTTTTCCTCTCCTACTCACAGGTCTCTTCATACTTTGAAGGACACATGTCATTCTTACTGTATGCAGTCCTCTGTTCCTCCAGTCCTGCTTATATCTTGATGGGACAGGCAGGGCTTTATGCTGGCCTCTCTGGCCATAAGTGCACGCCCTACAAAGCTTCTATAGCCTTGTCAGATGCAGATGGAAGTTTTCTGAGATGCTGTTATCTCTACCTGGACAGCTGCCTAGTGAATCACCACCTGGATTCCCATGAGATATTCCTGGTCAAGGACATGTAATTTCTAGCAGGGTCATCAAGAAGACAAATAAGAGGGCAACTTGTTTATAGGTGGTGTATTAGTCACTTTTCTGTTGCTGTGACAGAAACACCATGACCGTGGTGGCGCACACCTTTCATCCCAGCACTTGGGAGGCAGAGGTAGGCAGATCTCTGTGAGTTCAAGGCCAGCCTGGTCTACATAGTGAGTTCCAGGACAGCTGGAGCTACAGGGAGACCCTGTCTCAAAAAGATAAAAAAAAAAAGTAGAGTTTATTTAGCTTATGGTTCCAAAGAGGCAAGAGTTCATCATGGTGGGGAGGCAGGGCAGCAGAGGTGGCTCGAGTAGGAGCAAAAGCTAAGCAAGTGCTCACATCTTCCAGTAGGCACAGGAAAGCAAGAGAGTGACTTGAGATCTGGCAAGACTTAAGAACTCTCTAAGCCTACCCCCAGTATACGCTTCCTCCAGGATGGCCATACCGTCTAAGACTTCCCAAAACAGTGCCACCAACTGGGACAAAATGTCCAAATACTTGAAGCCTATGAGGGACGTTCTCATTCAAACTGCCTCAGGTGGAGAATTTGAGGATCAAACAAAGGTCAGGCAGAACAAGGCAGGATTCGAAGGTGAGTGTTCAGACATCAGGTGCTGAGCTTTAAGGCTCCCCCAAAGCCCTGTCCTACTTCTCCAGGAGATCGATGATCAGGTGAGGATGAATTTCCTTCAGGGCTTGGTAGAGTTGGTCTTTGCTGGCTCTGTTCCAGGATTGGCTGAAATCAAACAGCTTCCGCATCTTGTCTGGGTTGGTGGTCTCAGCTCGTACCTTCTCATACGCCTCTTCACTAAGCACCTGACCAAGAAGCTTGTCCAAGACAGGGTCCACTGATGTCACTCGGGCTATCAGCTGCTCCCGATACTGGTCCATGAAGTGCATCGAGACAGGGGCATCTGGGGGTGAAGATGAGACTGGCCATGAGCAAAGAAAGACTCCTCCATAGGCCCCACCTCTGGTTGCCCACTTGCTCTTTTTGCTTACCTCATCAGCATCCCTGGCTTCCCTCTGTAAAGTCATGTGACCACCAGGAAAGCACCCCTACCCTTCTACTGTCACCATACAGTCTGGCACTCTGCCTGACCAAGAGGAGAAGTTCATGATGGGGCATTGAGGCTGCTCCAGTGCCTCCATGTGCAACAGCAAGGGACAAGGGAAGAAACTGCTGCGGACGTGCACCTGTCCAACCCCATCCAGTTAATGTTTGTACAAGAAGGTCCCCTCCTCACTTCCCTCCCCTCAAGAATCAGACAGCACACCACCAGAATCCCACTGGCTCCTCTGGCTCTCGTAGCACACACTGACCTTTGGGGGCTGGAGAGTTCTGGGTTGGTGCAGGTCTTAGATCTCCTAGAAAAAATGAGATCTGTCATTTTGCCAGTTATAAACACACAGGTTACACCTTGAAAATCTCACTCATTTCTGTGATTTTGAGAAGAATAATCTGCAGATATTCTCATATAATCTGGAGTAAGATCTGAAAGGTGAAGATGTTCCTTATTTCTAAGGAGAAACTTGAGCCCTGAGCTATGATCACAGAGAAAGTGTGTGAATGAGCAGCACAAATTTCTCTTACATTGCTCTAGCTCAATTTTATCCTGTTTGGGCCTGAACTGAATCTGTGGTGGGGAGCTAACCAAATCCCTTGCTAGGGGGCCTAAAATCACAGTTCATTCCAGGTGGGGCTCTACTTTCTTGTCCATGTTTTGTCTTCTGCACTCACATACCACATATATGCATTCTAGATTTAATGTCAGATTCAAGATCAATCAAATCTTCGTACATGGGAATTATCGGTAAAATTTAGCAACAATAATAAACAAGTAAGCTTAATCATCAACAGTTCACGGCACCCCATGTGAGCAAGGCCTGAGGGTTTAAGCAGTTCCTAGGTTCATTACTATCTCCCAGTTCAGGTAAGTGTGCACAAGGGTACTCGCAAACCTAGCTCCATTTCCTTGAAGGCAGTACAATGTCTCTTACACCCTACACTGAGTAGTCACATTTCATCTTGATTTGTGCACAATGGAAACATTTACTGGGGTAAGTGACTAATTGACCAATAATGTAAAGCAAAAATGTAAGAGCAATGATGGAAGGAACTTAAGATGTTCATTATGCACACTTGAAGACATGAGGGAAGCCATGATCCCAGTATTCAAAGTCTCCCCAAGTCTTTAGCACAAAGAAAAGAATGGACCTTGGTGAGCTCCAAAGGACAGAATGAAAAAAACTTAGGTGGAAGAGGTTGGCTTGACATAATGAAAGATAACATTTTCCCCATCTTCTAAGGATCACTGTGAGGTTTCCTTGCTGACTGGTAGGGGCCTGAACATCCCATTCCCATCCCTCTGAGATTGCTTGAGAGTGCCTGAATTGACTTGGCCTCCAAGGGTGAGTTGCCCAAATCCTCCATGCCCATCCCCCTGCTTTGGGATCATCTCTAGCCCTTTCCAGTGCTCCAGTCTCAGGCTTCCCTGCTGACTGGTACGAGCCAGTACATTCAGTTCCTATCCCTTCTCCTTGGGCCTTGGACCCATCCTTCTGACACTGCTTGAGAGTGCCTGATTCGGCCTCTGGGGGTGAGTTGCCCAAATCCTGCTGCAGCCATCACACTGCTTTTTGATCATCTTTATTCCCTCCTACTTCTCCAGGGCTCAGGTTTCCCTGCTGGCTATTAGATGCTGGCCAATTCTATGTTTATCCCCTTTCTTTGGGCCATCCCATCTTACTGATGCTGGGAGAGTGCACTTAACTAGCCAAGGTACCTTCACCTTCTTGGAGAGCTCCTGATCCATTTGGTCCCTCCATTATAAAATCAAAAGAGAGAACCTGAAGCACTGACCAACTAATTTTTCATACCCAATCAGAAAGCAACCAAGCAACATCAGTAATACAAACAGAATAAAATTTCAACTCAACAAAGGTAGGCTAGAATTTTGTGGCAGACACACAATCAACAAAATAAATCTATCAGCCCAGGCCACAATGTAAAACCACAAATAATATGAAAAACTAAGATAATATGTTGGCACCCAAACCTACCAGTCCTACAGAAGTGTACTACAATGAGAATATGGAAAGCTGCAAGGGAAAAACAAGTCTCATATAAAGAAAAACCTGTCAGAATTACAGCTGACTTTTCAATGCAAACTATGAAAGCCAGAAGAGTCTGGACCAAAGTATTCCCAGTTCTAAATGGCTAAAGATGCCAACCTAGAGTACTTTACCTAACACAACTGTCTATCATAGGTAAAAGGAAAAGAAAAATATCCCATGACATAAATAGGCTGAAAGAATTCATGTCTACCAAACCAGGTCTATGGAGAATACTCAAAGCAATACAAAGGACTGAAGAAAGGAATGGCTATACCCAAGGTTGTAGGCCAATAGAATAGAACAGAAGATATAGACTAAGTCCACAAAACTATAGCTACCTGATTTTTCACTGAATAAAAGATAGCATTTTCAACAAATGATGATGGGAAAATTTTATATCTACATGTATCAGAAAATGAAAATAAATATCTATATCACGCCCTGTAAAAAAATCAGTTCCAAATAAATCACAGACCTCAATATAAGACCCGGTATCTTGAAACTTCTAGAGGAAAAAGTAGGGAGTACACTTCAACATATACACATAGATAAGAGTTTACTGAATAAGGCTCTGGTAGTACAGCAAATAAGGCCCAAAAATTGACAAATTGACAAATGGGAGCTCATGAAACTAAAAAACATAACATAAAGTAAATGTGGCACAGGAAGCTGTTAACCCGGGAAGAGACAGCTCACAGAATAGGAGAAAATATTTGCTAGCTATACATCTAATAGAAGATTAGTAGCTAGAATATATAAGGAACTCAACCTAAACTATAAGAAATTATACTATCCTTCTAAAGTTGGGTTATGGAATAAACAGAATTCTCAAAGGAAGAAATGCAAATGGCTAGGAAACACTTTAAAAATGTTTACCATTCTTAGAGAAATTCAGATTAAAAACTGCTGCAAAATTTCAATGCCCTAATCAGATTGACCGTCATCAATGGTAGAAATGAAAACAAACGTTGGCATAGATGTGGAGAAAAGGAAACACTTATTCACTGCTGGTGGGAGTGTAAACTAGTACAGTCTCTTTGGAAATAAGTCTGGAGGCTCCTCACAAAAATAGAAATAAGGCAGGTGTGGTGGTGCACACCTGTAATCTCAGCACTTGTGAGGTGGAAGCAGGTGGATCTCTGTGAGACCTTGGCCAACCTAGTCTACCTTGCAATTTTTAGGCCAGCTGACCCTGTCTCAAGCCCGCCCCCCTACCCAAAAAATCCAAACAATGGAAATGGAACTACATGTACCCAACAATATCCTCCTGGGCATTAACCCAAAGGAATTTACATCCTACTATAGAGAGATGTGCATATCCATGTTCATTGCATCTCTTTTCACAGTAGCCAGTAAATGAAATTGGCCTGATGTCCATTAATGACAAGTGGAGATTAAAAATGTGATATATATAGATATAGATATAGATAGATATAGATATGATGGAATTTTCAACCATAAAGAAAAATGAAATCATTAAATTTGCAAATGTATGAATGAAACTTGAAAAAATTATATTGTGCTAGGCAACCTAGGTTTGTCCCCAAAGACAAACACCACATGTTCTCTCTTACATGCCAAGCGAACATTTATTTTGAAGGCTGTGTGGAAGCCAGGAAACTAGAAAGGGGCTGGGGTGGCTGTCTTAAAGGAGAAGAGATAGTAGTATATAGGTAAAATGAGGGTGTAAATAGGGCATACTGGGAGCAAAAAGGTTCAAATAGAGAGAGGGTGGGGAGATGGTGGGGAAGGAGGGATGGGCAGGAAAGAGTAATCAAAGCAAAGGGAATATGAACTGGTAACATGAAAATCTGCCGTTTTAAGATAGAATTAAAAAAAAACTTAATAGGGTGTCTGAAGATTCCTCACAAAGATATATAATACTGGTCCTAGAAATAATGAATCAAACAAAACCCCAGTGACAGATGTGGGACAGCTCCACAGGAGGTGTTGGTTAGAGAGATTCTATGCCCAAACAATGCAGGCTCTTGCTATTCCTCTTGGTTGCTACCAGAACTAGCTGATAAGACCCTATTGCTGAGGACACCAATGGATGAAGATACCTTACATGCAAGATATAGAGAAATCAAGCTGGAACTGACTTGTTCCCTGCTCTCTAGCTTTCATCGTGCCAGATGGTGCTCTGCAGTTTGCTGGTAAAGAAGAAGCTTCAATAGTCTCACCTACTTCTGAACTCTATGAACTACAAAATCAATCTGCTAGACAAGATGTACCCACTGTTGCAATAGTGAAACAACTGTTATGGAGTAACTAACAGCTCCATGATTAGACTTGAGGCTCACTCCTCATGAGGGAATCCATGCCTAGCACAATAAACCCCGTCAAAACCCAATGTCTGAGGATAACTTATGCACTCAGAAAAAAGTTACTATGGCTGCTTAGCTAAGTTGATATAACATCATCTGTCTTCACAATGTATTTCTTTGTACTTTAAACTGAGCCTGAGTTACAGACTCCTCTCTTTGCAGTGAATGGAGGTTCATGCAGAGACCCATGGCTACACAAGATGTTGTTAATAAACAATGGCTGAGGGATCAGTCCTAAGCAAGATATTTATGTCACCTCTGTTAGGTTCAGGGAACATTGAGGAAGATGGAGAGGAAATCATGCAAAAACTGGGAGACAAGGAGAAGGGTTGTGAAAGAGCATCTTCTAAGCATGACTCAGCTACGGAAACCATGAACTCACAGCAGCTGCATCTCCTGTGCTGTGTCTATACAAGTCTGCTCTGCCAATAGCCAGCTATGGTTCGGAAGGGACTGCTGGGGTCCCACTCCTTACTGCTGAACTATTGGCAACTAACAGAGTATGGGAGAAGGGGAGGTATAGTATCCAGTTATGTACACATTGGTGAGAGCACCAGACCCTAATGGATAGTCCCCATGGTCATAGAGATGGTCCTAGGTAAACTCTGAGACACAAAAAACACAAAAATTATGAATAGGGAAAAGAATTATGTAGGAAAATAGGGGAGCTGGCACGTGTAGGAAGGAGATAAGAGAGTTTTGGTGGGTGAGTAACCAGAATGCATTATAGACACACACAAAATTCTTAGATAGCAAAATTTGGGTGGGAAGATTGCAATAGCCAGAGGGGGTAGATAACCACAAAGAAACAGGGACTTCCAGATAGCTGGGCAGTTACTCATATAAACTCATAGCAATGGTGTTACATGCACAAGTCCCACATACACTTAAGTCAGACAAAAATCCCAGCACACAAATGGGGAAGAAACCTCAGCCCTACCCCGAGGAACCTCAGTGTAGATCTCAGATGGCAACTGATAGTTGCTGGGAGGGGGAAAATCTGTTTGCTTTAAGGGCATGACTGTATGTGGTTTAACTAGGCTCTAGTGGGATGGGCCCACACCAAAGGGTAATGGGAAAATCTGCTGCCAAAAAATTGACTAGAAAGGCCATATATATATATGTATATAGATACACATATATATGTGTATATGTGTGTGAGTGCGTATAATAGGGTATATGAAATGAAATTGCATAAAAGATACTAAGGTCGCATGCTGATAGGGGAGGGTTCTAAATACAATCAAAATATGTTGTGTGATTTTTGCTAGAATTCAATTAAGCAATTTAAAAATAGCAAAATTTATTGAAGAAAAAAGAAAATATAGACAGATCCAAAATGAAGTATCTGATATTTGCAAAACTAGCTTAGTCCATCAGTCATGGAACAATTGAGTGCTTGTCCTTTCACTTTAAAGCTGAGCCATCAGGTGAAACAGTGCCAGAGGCCTGTGGATGCCAAAATCTGTCAATGCAAGGGAAGTGGGGGATAGCAGGGTAAAATAGAGAAAAGGGAGCTTAATGTATATGTGGACATGCAAGGTAATGGGTCCTGAGAAACTGAAGTTGAGCTCGTAGGCACTCAATGGGGTCAGGGGACTCCAGGGTGTGTTGTCCAGGAGTGCCTCTCATGGCACCCTGAGAAGCTTTTATTAGGATAGCACAGTGTACAGACTTTATACAAAGCTCACACATGATTAATGCTTAAACAGTACAAAACACACAGGGATTTCCTTATTGGTATAGTCAGGGGACAGAAAGACTTGCTTAAGGCGATGGCGACCTGCTCAAGGCTAAGAGTGCGTAACAGACTTTCTTAGTACGTGTATTGAAGCATACTTGCCCAACGTGAGAGTTATTAGCCTTAGCCTTTAACGGCTGTGGTATCTCTCCAGCCTGTTCCCAGAATTCTGAGTTCAGGCACAACCCCTCTCCCAGCATTCCAGGAGGGAGCAGACACAGGCATTCCTTTGTGTAGAATGAGTCTAAGGAAGTTTGTTAACCCCTGGTACACTGAGTGCCATTTGTTCCCAAGGGACAAAGGAGGCACCTGCAACTATATAATTGTATGGATGTGATATGTTCCCCACCAAATGTGCATGTGTTGAAAGACTAGTTATTGCAGTAGCATTCAGAAGGGACTGATGATGAGGGCTGTGATTTGGAAGGAAAATGCACTGATTTACTCATAACTGAATAAGTACTAAGAGGGGTTGTAGAAACTACAGAAAGGGACACAAGAGGAAGTGAGTCACCAGTTGCATATCCCAGCAGTGTGTCTTGTCACAGACCACTCTTCATTTTTTCCTCCCACTCATTGGTAATCCATCTCCTCCCACTCACTGACTTTCTTCCTGGGCTCTTGGACTTGATCCCACTTTACCTGGTTTCAACAAGACCTCCCATACTAGACTCCCATCCTTCTTGTCACTCATTTGCAGCTTGATTCCTGAATTCATGTGGCCAACGTAGATCTCAGAGAAGAGCTGGTATTCTCCAGGACTCCGGTAGCACAGCTCCAGTTCCTGAAGATCAAAAGAGATGCTGGATAAGGTCTCCTCCACCACCCAAATAACTTACTTGCACTTTTAATCTCATCAGACACTGATTACTTTGTGTACTGAAGTCAATTACCACCTATAAACACACAGCCTGACTCACAAGGATGAGGCACAGCTGGGAACTCTATTGTCTTAGCTTCTTTTCTCATCACTCTGACAAAATATCTGACATGAAACAACTTAAGGAGTAAAAGTTTATTTCATCTCACAGACTCATGGAGTGGAAGGCATGGCAGCTGGGGCTCATTCATGGTAGCAGAGACTTGTCTTAACAATGGCTTGTTAAGTCTTGGAGGATAAGGAAGTATCAGAGAATTTGAGTTGGGAAGCAGGGCTAGGCCACAAGACACCCCCCTCACCCCCCCCCGTGTGTGTGTGTGTGTGTATATGTGTGTGTTTGTGTGTGTGTGTATCTGTGTGTGTATGTGTTTGTGTGTGTGCATCTGTGTGTGTATGTGTTTGTGTGTGTGTCTGTGTGTGTGTGTGTGTGTATCTGTGTGTGTATGTGTTTGTGTGTGTCTGTGTGTGTATCTGTGTGTATCTGTGTATCTGTGTGTGTATCTGTGTGTGCATCTGTGTGTGTATGTGTTTGTGTGTGTGTCTGTGTGTGTATCTGTGTGTCTGTGTATCTGTGTGTGTATCTGTGTATGTATCTTTGTGTGTATGTGTTTGTGTGTGTGTCTGTGTGTGTATCTGTGTGTGTGTGTGTTTGTGTGTGTGTCTGTGTGTCTGTGTGTGTATCGGTGTGTGTGTCTGTGTATATCTGTGTGTGTATCTGTGTGTGTGTTTGTGTGTGTGTGTCTGTGTGTATCTGTGTGTGTGTCTGTGTGTGTATCTGTGTGTTTGTGTGTGTGTCTGTGTGTATCTGTGTGTGTGTTTGTGTGTGTGTGTCTGTGTGTGTATCTGTGTGTGTGTCTGTGTGTGTCTGTGTATCTGTGTGTGTGTCTGTGTGTGTATCCGTGTATGTCTATGTGTATGTGTCTGTGTGTGTATCTGTGTGTGTGCATGTGTGTGTCTGTGTGAGTGTATGCTCATGTGTATGCATGTGTGTGTGCCAGAAGTTGACTCTGGGTGCCTTCCTTAATCACTTTGCACCTGAGCTTTTGAGACAGGGTCTCCCACTGAATGTGTCCTCTACAACTCAGCTTGACTGTCTGACCTATCTCAAGGCCTGCTTCCCATGTATATCTGCTTTCCCAGCACTGGGATTACATATGTGTACAACCACACTCTGCTTTTTACATTTGTTCCCCATGCATGCATGGTAAGTACTTTAGCAAGTGAGTTAACTCCCCAGCCCCCAAGGGGACTCCATCAAATGAATCAGGTCCTGTGTTACCATGTTTAAGAGACACAGAGAACTTGCCATTGCACTTAGGACAAAATCCAACTACACACCAGGGTCAAATGACCGGTGAGGCTCTAGTCTGATCCAGTCTTCAAGTTTGCTTTCACCTCTGAACCTCTGCGCATGTTCTTTTTGACTGAAACATTTTGCACAAATCCCCACTTGCTTCAACATTCTTGTCACTAGGACCTCAACTCAACTGTCATCTTCTCAGAGATGCTGTCTTTAGAGTCACAGTTGAAGTGCCTAAGTAACTACTCTTCACAATGCCATAGTTTCTAAAGCTCTTGATCATCCTGTAACTGCCTATCATTCCTCAATTATTGATGCTTATCTCATTTGCCATGACCTAACCTTCCTCAGTTAAGGGATCTATCTGCCTTCCAGGACCATTGGTCTTTCCCTACGGGAACATATCTTTGGGACTAACTTAAGCTTTGCCAGATAACAGAATCAAATTTCTCTCTCTCTCTCTCTCTCTCTCTCTCTCTCTCTCTCTCTCTCTCTCTCTCTCTCTCTCTCTCTCTCTCTCTCTCTCTCTCTCACACACACCTTGTTAACAACTGACACTGCAGAAAAACCAGTAAGTATTCAATCTTGGTTTCATGTTTCTTAGTTAAAACATGAATAGCACTTCCTTCTACCTACTTGACATATGTTCCATCTGAACAGATTGAACAGAGAACCCTTGGAAAATCTTCAGAGGCTACTGCCTTCTGACGTGGACCGTTCAACCTGGATGTCAGAGGAAGGTGAGTTCCCTGATTCTTCAGCAACATTGCCAATCACTATATTCTACTTTCAATATTTATCTGTTATTCTCCTTTCAAAGCCTCTAAAATGCCAGTATAATCTCCCTAATCTTTACCCTGTTATCATTCTCTATGTTTTCCTTCTATTACCTAAGGGAAGACTAAACTCTTCTAAATATTTCCCCTGACCCTAGCTACTGCTCTGAATTTAACTGAATGTTGGATAGATCATCTTCCACCTTATCTCACACATTAAAACCCTATAGTTAGTCATGAGGAATTTTTAACTCTACATAATAATTATTGTTGTAGTTACACTTGATGCAACTGGGACAATTTGACTAGGGAGGATAATCTTCATTGTCACTTGACAAAACTTAGAATATTTTGGAGATATAACTCTGGGCGTATCTGGGAAAGTGTTTAAAGGGAAGTTTAATTGAGGAAGGAAGACCCATTTCGATTGTGGATGCCACTAACCCATGGCCTATGGTCCTGGACAGAATAAAAAGTAAGCCAGTGTCAGCATTCCTCAATCTCTGCATCTAGAACGTTGAGATTTGAGGGATTCCAGTCACATGGCTTCACTGAAGAAAGTGAATTGCACTTTCTTAAACTGTGAGCCAAAATAAATTCTTCTTCCCCTTGGTTGTTTCTGTCATGTATTTTGTCACAACAGTAGAAATAGTAACTAATACCAAAGGGGGGAGGGGAATGGGCTAGTGGACTTTCTTCAATAAACTCAGATAAATTCTGGATGTTTTCATTTATGAGGCTTCATAGTTTAAGTGCCTGGTTTTGGACCTGTAACAAAGACTGCTAGTTCTTTGGATCGCCTGTGTTACAGTTGTGTGATGTATCGTGGTCTGAGTCTCTCATGCTGCCTCTATTGTCATGTCAACCTCATTACATGTATGTAACCTGGTTCAAGCACTGACTACCATTTAGTGGAGGCTGCTCTGCTCCCAGGCAGTAAAATGTGGACAAAGTTGTATTAATCATTCTTCTGCTGCTAAGACAAAATATCTGAGTAAATCAACTTAAAGAATAGATTTACTGTGGTTTATCAGTTCAGATGTGGTCAATTCACCCCACCCCTGTAGGCCTGTGGCAAGGCACTATGATGGAGGTGGCATGAGAAAGCAAAACTGCTTATTTCATGATAGGCAGGAGGTGGAGAGATAATGAGAGGATGGGTTCTTTTGCCAAGATACATCCTTTAAGGTGAACTCCTTTCTACAAACTGGCTATACCTGCAAATGTCCTTTCAGTATGAACTCATCAGTGGGTATGATGAAGATATTTGGACCATGATTAATGCCTTGTGGTTCAACCTCCAAAGTGGGTGGAGGAGGATACTGAACAAAAGCAGTCCCTAGTATCCAGGAGCTGATCTGAGGCTCAGAGCTAGACCTCAGTGTGATTTTAAACTGCTGAGATTGCAGCTAAGTTCTGTTGGATACACACACACACACACACACACACACACACACACACACACACACACGTGTGTGTGTGTGTGTGTGTGTCACTTAATTCAGAAAGGTTAATAGCAAGGTTATAAAATCACAAAGGTAGAGCAGATGTGTCGTTGGTAAAGTGCTTGATGACCTGACCTGAGTTTGATCCTCCAAACCCATAGAATATAAAGGGACAACCAACACCTCAAAGAGTCTTTCTGACCTCCACATGTATGCTATGGCACCCTGTATGCACATGAGGATACACATATGGGCATATGCATGTGCATACACATAAAAGAAGCAAATACCTATTATAAAAATTTTGAAAAGTAAAACATTGGAACACCAGTCAGTATGGCTCAGAGGGTTAAGGCATTTGCTGAAAATCTTGATAACCTAGGTTTCATGATGGGGCCACCGTGGTGGAAGGGAAGAATTAACATCCACAAATTGCCCAGTGACCTCTATATGCACATATGAACATGCCTGCATATACATGTACATACATACAAAAAATCAATAAATTAATGTAATAAAAATTTAGAAAATAAACCTTGGAAGCCTTTTGACTATGAGAGACAGCTGTGTCCTTAACAACTGTAGCTTTATGCTTGTTGCTTCAGTCTGACCCTCCATTGGAATAAGGTTTGTTAAGTTTCCCAGTCATTGAGTTGCCCTGCTTTCTGATAAAATTAAACAGAAGAAAAATCTGTTTGCTTAGACCTTCTCTTAAATTATTCAACCAAGGCTGAAATTCTGCAGAAGCCATCATTTTGATTAATTTTTTACTGAGAAAACCCACAGTTTCCATGGTGTGTGCTCTGCAAAGCAATAAATTCAGTGTGTTCAACTACAGGTTTGTTCCTGTTATTTTTCACTAGAAGACACTGACATCTGTAGCATAAATTCTTACAGTGCTTCCAAGTCAAGCCCACTGTCCTCCTCATTTTGAACATGATCCTCCCTTCCCTTAAATTCCTTTCTGCCAGTCTTTGAAATATTCTTTGTCATCCCAATCCCACTTGCTTTTTGCTCAAGTCCAATTTCCTGGTTCCTGGTAAATCCCTGTGACCTGTCACGTAGGTTCCTCCAAGCCTGTCATCTAATATTGGAGAGCCACAAACACCTGACTACCCACCGTGGGGAGAATTTCCAGCTTCTTGGAACCAGACACAGTATAGCGAGAGCCGATGTAAAGGGCTTCAAGTGGTGGAGGCTTGTGTATTCGCACAAACTGGAATCTCATTTCTTCATCATCTATGGCCTAGGGAATGTATAAAGAGGGATTTAGGGCTATTTCTAGGCTACGGCATCCAGTACGTATAAGGTAAGATCGTGGGCCATGTCATTGTATGGGTAAAGGGTAGTAACACCTATTCTGCACCTCCTCCCTTGTGTTCTGCTGTACAGACACCTCTGCACTTGTCTCCTGTCATGTTCAAGGTGGCATTAAGTTATTGTCTGAGAAGAATGGAGGTGAAAAGGAAGCTTATATTTAGGCATGGAACCCTGACCATCTTTCTGATCTCTAGAGTGAGACTGCAGATTATATTTTAGAGATTAGTAAAGGATCAGTAAATGCATTTTGGGGACACTTGAGTGTGAGTTGACTCAGTTAAGGCTGAACAGAGGATAGAATCATCAACCCACATTAAGGTTCCATTTGAAGAGTTCCATCCTCACTCCCAGATGAGGCTGTCTCTGGGGGACTCCTTAGATGCATTTCACATTTCTGTCGGTCCACCCTTCAGTCTTTGTGATTCTCAGTTTTACCTTTCGAATGGTGCAGTCATTGGGGATCAGGTAGAGGTGGAAGGTGACTTCCTTAAGATGTAAATGATGGTAGAGCAATGTGGTGGAGATGATGGGGACAAAGCGCCAGGCAGCATGCAGAATTCTGAGTAGAACTCCCACTGGGGAGAAGCTGGGGTTTTCCAAGACTGTGTGACACTGTTCCACCCTGGCTGGTTTCTCAAGGATCATCCCATACTCTTTAAAGTGGGCCACATGGAACAAGGAGGTGTCCACCTGTCCCTCTGTCAAAGAAAAGATTCAAGAGATGTGGATTTAGTGTTCCCATTTAGCTGAGCTTGGCTGTGGCTACAAGAGCCCAGCATGTAAATTTCCTGAGAGAACTTATTCCTAAGGTTTGAATGGCTGTGGTTTCCCAACATTCATATGTTAAAATTCTAAACTCAGTATGATGGTATTAGGAGGTGGAGATGAGATGTAGGTGAGATTAGGAGGTGTAGTGAGATGTGAAACAGACATTGAGGTAGGATCCTCATCAATGAGAGCTTGCCCTCATGAAAGTGACCAAAGAGACATCTTTGATACTATGAGGACACAGCTAAGTGAATGTAAGATTAATCTCAATTGTCATCTTAATGAAATCTAGAATCTCCTTGGAGATGGGCTGCTGAGCATGTGTGAAGGAAATTGTTTGGGGTGGATTAACTGAGGGGGGAAGACCTAATGCCACTGTGGATAGCAACATTCCATACCCCAAGGTCCTGGACTATATAAAAATGAGAAGATAAGTTGAGCACAAGTAAGTTTGGTTTCCTGTTTCCTAACAGTGAATACAGCTTGTCCAGCTGCCACAAGCTCCTGCCAGTTCGACTTCTCTGCCATAATCGACTGTAGCCTTGAAATGTAAGTCCCAAATAAATCCTTTCTACCTTAAATTGCTTTGGTCAGGCATTTTGTTGCAACAATTAAAGTTACCTGAACAGAAAATTTGTACCAAGATGGAGGTCATTGCTGTGATCAACTTATGTGGCTCTTGGGCCTTTGAAATTGTTTGTGACCGGAATGTGGAAGAGTTTGGTATTAGAGATAGAAAAATCTTAGTTTTCTGGAAGGAGAGCTTAGTGGGCCATTCTAGTGGGAGTTTGGAATGAGAAGGCTGAGAGGAACGTGGAGAGTGGAGTCCCAACTCATGAGGTTTCAAAGGGAAAAAAGACTCTCTCAAGCAGCTGACCTATGGAGCATTCATGTGATTGTTGGGACAAGGTTTCACAGTGTTTGGGCCCTGAGAGTGAAGTTGAATTTAAAGGTAATGTGTTAATTTGTCCAAGGACATTTCAAGACATGTAAGCATTCAGATTCTACCTAAGAAAGCAGGTGAAATTGTTAAACAGATTGACTACACTGAAGAAAAACTGCTCTGTAGTGAGACAATAGGAAGAGTCGTAAGCCAAACCCAAAAACATCAGAGACTCTCTCTTGTGAAGATCAAATTTAAATCAGGGAGGAAAGCCTAAACTTAAGGTGTTTTCTCCTCCCCAAAGACAACTGTCTGGGTACATGTTTCTCTTGTGTCAGCACATTGAAAGTGATATACTATGCTCCAAGGGGCCAGATACATCTAGAGCTGGTTGCACAATTCGCAGTGTTATCCATATGGTACTGATTTTGCAGGCATTGAAGATGAGATTCAGTGCATTATGGAGTCCTGCTCCACACTTTCATTGTCTGAGACCAGGATAGATGGAATTTGCTGCAAGGAGGCCCTGTGGGGTCATTGTGTGAAGCTGTGAAGGTAAAGCTTAAGTTGCAGTGTAGACCCCAGTACATAGGAGATGTAAGAATCATGGTGAAATAGTAAAACCCTAGCCAACCATTGCTTTATCCTGTGTTTTTGCCCAGCCATTCCCTCAGCAGCCAGCCAGGCAGAATGTCTCATGCAGGCAGTTTCAGGGAGTACATGGTTTCTACAATATTGGGAAACTTACAAGTAGCCAGGTAGCAGGTCCAGAGAGTACATCCTTCCTCCCAGCTATGCCTGCATCTCTATGGAATCCATGTTTTTGCATTCTGAGAAACTTGTTTTTTCCTAACTGAAACTTTTTGTTAATTGAGAACCTCTTTGCTAGCTGACCTGTCCCTGGTCTGGTGTAACTATGGTGATCTGATGTAACTATGGTTATTGGTCCTCCGAAATGATGTAATTATGACTTTAAGCTTTATAAACCCTGATCTGCTCCTCCTATGGGTTGAGAGTTCTCTTGGGCATGAGCCCCCTCTCTGACCACTGGCTTGCTAGCTAGCTAATAAAGGACTCTTAATTCGACCGTCACTATGTGGCATTCTTCTGTGTAGACTCGCTTGGTGTCACAATGGTACTTTTACTGAAGAAAGCTTCGTGCATGAAGTGTAGCCTGCATAAGAAAGAAGCTATGTGTGTTGCACGTGCGAGAAGTGAAGAAGCAGAACTATCTTAGCATTTTAGAACCCAGCTATTTTCATCATGAATCCCAAGTACTGGAAATAAATCTGCAAACTTTGCCTTTCCCTGATCTCTCTTATTCTAGTCACTTCTTGATGTACTCTGATGTTGCTCTTTTGGAATGGAAATTTTAATCTGGGTCCTTGTATGATTGAAGTATGTATCTTGTTTTATAGTTTATATTTATATTTTATATTATATCTTGTCAGGCCAGTTGTTGTATCTCACGGGAGTCGCAACTGGGTAATGCTGATGATAATTTTCTCTTCAGGGAGCATGCATAGCACCTTCCAGCGCTATGATAGATGGTCAGTAGAGACAAAGTTTGAAGTTAGCTCCAGCTTGACATATCCTTGTATTTTCTATGGCTCATGTATGTAGTGTCTTCAGAAATAGAGTCTTATCATGAAGTTCTGGTGGGTAAACAAGAGCATGGGCAATACCAGTTTGAGTGTCTATGGGACTCCTGTTCAATAGCTTCAAGGAGAGCATCCATTCCTTGCACTGGATTTTACTTTACTAGCCCATGCTGTGTAGTAGGGAAATGTCTTGTTACTATAAGGAAACTCCTCTTAATCTCTTTTTATTTATTTATTTTTATTTTTTGTCTTTTTGAGACAGGGTCTCCCTGCAGCTCTAGCTGGCCTAGAACTCGCTATAGAGACCAGGCTAGCTCCTATTTCACATTTAATCCTTCCTACACTATTGTTCTCCCTTTCCCTGTTATATCACTGCATTCTATCTGCCCTCAGAAGCAGGCTACCTCTCCACCCATGCCATTTGCTTTCTTGACCTCTCTGCATTTGCAAATTGAAACATGTATTTATTTATTTATCTATCTATCTATCTATCTATCTATCTATCTATCTATCTATCTATCTATTTATTTAAATTCAAAGCTAGCATCCAGCTATCAGAGAGAACGTGTGATGTTTGTCTTGCTGGGTCTGGGTTACCTCACTCAGGATGGTTGTTTCCAGATCCTGCCACTTACCTGCAAATTTCAGAATTTAAAAACTTAAAAAAATTATTTATTTTTATTTTATGAGTATGAGTATATTGCCTGCATGTATGTAAGTGCACCCATGCTGTGCAATGCCGGTGGAGGTCAGAAGAGGGTGTCAGATCCCCTAGAACTGGAGTTACGGACCACTGTTAGCTGCCATATGGGAGCTGGGAATCGAATCCAGGTCCTCTGCAAGAGCATCCAATGCTCTTAACCACTGAGCTATCTCTCCAGCACCAAACTTCCTAATTTAAAAATTATTTTATGTGTATGAGTGTATTGCTTGCATGTATGTAAGTGCACCTATGTTGTGCACTGCCAGATTGTGTTGGATCCCCTTGAAACTGGAGTTAGGATGGTTGTTAGCTGCCATGTGGGTGCTGGGAATAGAACCTGGGTCCTCTGTGAAATCTCTCTAGTCCCCATAATTTTGTTTTCTAAAGAGCTGAATAATATTTCATTGTGTATGTGTGCCATGGTTTCATTATTCATCCATCAGTTGGTGGACATTTAGCTTGTTTCCAGTGTTTGGCTTCCTGTGAAAGGGAATTAATGAACATGGATGAACAGGAATTTATGTAGTAAAGTATAGTTTATTCTGGGTATATGGCCAAGTATAGTACAGCTGGATCATATGGTAAATCAACTCTATCTTTTTTAGGAATCCATATTGATTTCCATAGTGACGGCAGCAGTTTGTACTCCCACCATCAGGGATAAGAGGTCAAGAGTTCCCTTTTCTCTGCATCTTTACCAGCATTTGTCATTGTTTTCTTTCTTTCTTTCTTTCTTTCTTTCTTTCTTTCTTTTAAATCTTAGCCATTCTAAATGGAATAAGATGAATTCTAAAAAGCGGGTTAGTTTGTTTACTTGGTTTATTTTTTTTTTTTTGAGACAGAGTCTCCCTATAGTCCACGATGGTCTGGAACTCACTATGTAGACCAGGTTGGCCTTGATTTCATAGAGATCTGCCTGCCTCTGCCTCCTGAGTGTTGGGATTAAAGGTGTATACCACCATACCTGGCTCCTTTCTCATTTTTAAAATTAGATACTGAGAATTTCATACAATGTATTTCGATCATATTGAATCCCTTCCCTGAACTCCTCCCAGGTTTGCTTCCCCTTCCCAACCCACCCAACTTTGTGTGTTCTTTTTTTTTTTTTTTTTTTTTTTTTAAAAAAAAAAAACTAAGTCCAATTTATGCTGCCGATATACTCTTGGAGCCATTCCTGGAGTGTGACTCAGCAGCAGTCAGACTCTTATAGAGTTCCACAACTGGTCACACCCAGAGAAGAAGTGTCTGTGAGATGCCAGCCCTGAGCGACACATCTAGAATGGAACCTCTATACCTAAGGGTCAGGGAACATAACAGAACAGGGGATAGAGAGGATAATAATGTTTCTCTGAACTCTCACCACTGAAGCTTCCTCATGCGACAAGAGGCAATTAATACAGAAGGCCACAGTTGGCCAAAGTGAAGAGACTAAGAGACTGCAGAGTACATGTCCCTGGATAGGACTTCTATAGCAAACCTCACCCACCAAGGACTCAGGAACCTTTACAGAAGAGGGGGTGGGAAGACTGTAAGAACCAGGGGTGGTGCATGACCACAAGGAATCAGTCTTTCGGGCTTCTGGGAAGTTGTTCATATGCACTTACAGCAATGGTGACAGCATGCACAAGACCCACGCAAACTCAATCAGACAAAAACCCAGCATAGACCTGGGGAAATGAGAAGGACATTAGCTGAGGAACTATTGGTAGCTGATCACTGCTGGGTCGGGAAGAGTTGGTCTTCTTTAAGAGAGTGATGCTAGATAGACTGACCAGGCTCAAGGAGATGGACTCACATTGAGGGACATCTAGGTACACAAACTTGACTCTATTGGCCTTAACATAAATTATAGAATGCATGAAATCTGGCGGGTGGGCTATAGGAGGTGCAGATAGGGGAGGGGGTCTAAATAAGATTAAGATATATCATATGAAATACACAAAAGACATTTATTTAAAAAATGAAGTAAAATAAATATATTTTAAAAGGGTATAGTGAGGAAACATATTAGTCTCCATTACCCTCTCTGCCTAGCTAAGAAATCCATGAGCTTTTTGTTACCACCCACCACTCTACACCATCCTACACATTCTATCAGCCTCCTCATCAATACACCCTCCTTCTATCCCTCCCTTGGTTACCTTGGATATCCACAAAGTGAGGAAGATACACAGTGGTCACAGCTCCTTGCTCAGCCTTGATGTCAAACAGAGGCCCAGCCACCATGTATCCATGCTGTATGGGAGTCTTCTTCAGGAACTGGCTCCAGGCACAGAACTCAATCTCGATAGTCACTGCCTTTGTCACCACAAGGTGGAGCCCCGTATTGGGCCAGTGGTAGGAGCCAGCCTTGGGCAAGTTAACTCTAGAAGTAGGAGTCAGACATCAAGTCACAGCAGCTCTGCTTATGCCTGAGGGAGGCAGACTACATGGAGGGCTAGGGACATACCAGACTTTAGTCAGATAGCTCTGTGTTCTGCATGTGGACCCTTGACCAAGTCATTTGCGCTCCCAAATCTTAATATCCTCATCTATAAATAGGGATAATGACAAAACCCATCCCATAGAATTGTGACTACTGAGTGATCAAATGCAAATATGCAAATTACTACACATCTGGGAGCACTTAGCTATTCTTATGAAAGTGACAAGCATGATGAAATATGTCAGTGTTTTATATATACATACATATATATGTATATATATATATTATACAACACAGTAAACAAAGCTAATAGCAGTATGCTGTGTTTTTGACAGTTTCCTTGTTGTTTTTTTTTTTTTTTTTTTTTTTTTTTGTGTGTGTGTGTGTGTGTGTGTATGCTGGGACTAGAACTTAGGACCTTGTAAACACTAGGCAGGGGTTTTAATACTGAGATAAATAGCAGACTTTATTGTTTTTAAAATATTTATTTATGTGTGTATATGTATGTATGAATGTGTTTGGGTACCCATGGAGGCTACAAGAGGGTGTTGGATAACCCGGAGCTGGAGTTATAGTTGGTTGTAAGCCACTGTGTATGCTGGGACTAGAACTTAGGACCTTGTAAACACTAGGCAGGGGTTTTAATACTGAGATAAATAGCAGACTTTATTGTTTTTAAAATATTTATTTATGTGTGTATATGTATGTATGAATGTGTTTGGGTACCCATGGAGGCTACAAGAGGGTGTTGGATAACCCGGAGCTGGAGTTATAGTTGGTTGTAAGCCACCATACTTGGGTGCTGGGAACAAAATTCTAATATCTTGGAATAGCAGAAAGTGCTCTTAATCCCTAAGACTTCACTTCAGCCCTTATTCTTTGCACTTAAAGGGTATTTCCCCCAATAATAAGAGTCTATGTGTTGACATTAGTGATGAAACCTTAGAGTCGAAAACAATATTTTATAGGGATCATTAGTGATTTTCTCAAAGTCTTCCTATTTGGAAAATAGTGAGTGAACAAATGCCAGTTTTCATAGGAGGAAGTCGAGAGTGACAATATCTGCAGCTGACACAGGGCCCCTGACAGTGTTGGAAAAGGAGCTACATATTACTGAAGGCAACACGGCTGTGAGTACAGATACTCACTACTCACTATAAACTCTTGGAGGGCAGAGCTGCCATGTTCATCTTTGAATTGTTGTCTATTAGTAGGGGACTTGGCACAAAGCAGTTGTAAAGCCATCCTCCCCCCGCCCCCCAAGTAAAGCAGGAGCACACAGACTGCAAGGACTTAAATGAAACTTAAGAGACACAACAGTCCAAACATAATAAATGGACCCTGATTGTATCATGATTAGGATAACCACCAGTAAGAACACATTCACGACAATGGAGCACATCTGAACACAGACTGGGTTTGTTTAGATGGTGTGAAGGGCTCAAGCCAGTTTGGTTATATGTGGTAATCCTGTGGTGTATACAGAAGACAAGGTCTTACTTTAATTTTGGAGGGATGCGAAATGAAATATTTAAGGATGAAATCACCCAATGGCCTGGACTTGAACTTCTGTAGCATTGTGAAAAAGGAAAAATGAGAGTAATTGAAATGAATTTAGCAAAGTGGTTACTGAAGTAGGGTGATAGGCCAAGAAAGTACTTGTAATATTCACTTTTGTAAATGAAAAATGTCATGATAAAACTCTTTTTTCCATAATAAAAGCATATAATCAGCATCTCAGTACTGTTCCTGCCTCTTGGCCTGGCAATTTGAGGGGAAATGAGGTGGGCTGTGGTGAGATCAGTGGGGAAGGCGAGCCTGGACCAAGCAGAGGCCCTCACTCACCGATAGAGGTTCTTTTCTTTGTCAATCACCTCAGTAGCTACAGGTCCTGTGGAGCCCCAGAAGTTGTCTTCACTCCACAGAGGCTCCTTGAGCATGTCTGCAGGAGAGGCAGTAGAAGAGCAGAAGGGTTCCTCCTCTCCTGCTTCTAGGAGTCTTTCCTCTGTGAGAAATAGGACAGTCGTCAGTCTCCATAGTCCCAATACTACTGAAACATGGCTGAGAGCTTTCTCAGGCTGGCCTGCCTTGGACTCAGTCTGTAGTCTCTGGTCTGTTCTTGGGTCTGCCTGCTTGTTTTCCTTTCTGTTCTTTTGTTTTTACTGTTTGCACCTGAGCAACATCTCTGCAACCTGCTTCCAACCCAGACTTATCCTTCCTCTCCTTTCCTACTGGTCCAAAAGTGTTTGTCCCAGTCTGACTCCAGTAGGCAGTTGAAGAGAAGAACTTAGTTCAAAAGATGGATGGGTAGGGAGGGCATGGTGATTCCCAGGCCTCATTATCACACAATGAGATGTACATCTTTTGTACGGAGTTGGATGCATGCCGTAGACTTGAAAAGGGGAAGCACCAGACCTTAATCCTGAAAGAGAAGGAAGCAGAATTCCCTCTAGATTAATTCTAGGGGTGGAATGCCTTGCCACATTGGCAAACATTTCTGGTGGGACACATCTACTTCTCCATATCAGAAACACATAGATATAAGTGTTGACTACCTACAGCTCTCTATCTCCCTGGAGCCATTGCAATACTTAGATTCTGGTCCATTCACATACCTGACTGTAGTCTCAGGTACTTGAGTGAGGTGGTAATATCACCCATTTCTCCTCCATCCAGGTCCTGAGTAGGGGTCTTTACATGCGGCTTCCTATACACAGAGATGTTCTTTACCTCAGGTGTCAGGTGAAGCCAGGGCTGTCTGTATGACATCCCCACCTAAAATCCAACCCATCTGAATTTTAACTCAGACCATATTCTTCTCTAGGAACTGTCTCTACAAATGGTCCCCATTCTATAGGCATCCATGCCAGAACGGGGATCATCTAGAGCTCTCCTTCATTGCTCTAGTTTGACTGTGTTCCCCAAGTGTGTTAGTCACTTTTCTGTTGCTGTGATAGAAACACTGACCCAAGCAATTTATAGAAGGAAGAGTTTATTTGGGCTTATGGTTCCAGGGGAATTACAGTCCGTCATGGCAGGGAGGCATGGTGGCTGGAGGTGGCTGGAGCAGGAACAGCAGAAGCTAAGCTCTCACATCATCATGCAGGCACAGGAAGCAAGAGAGCAACTGGAGATCTGGCAAGGCTTAAGAACTCTCTAAGCCCACCCCCAGTGACATGCTTCCTCCAGGATAGCCACACCTTCTAAAACCTCCCAAAACAGTGCCATTATCTGGGGACAAAATCTCCAAATACTTGGGGCCTGTGGAGGACATTTTCATTCAAACCATCACATTCTACCCCTTGGCCCCATAGGCTCAACACCAAGTTTACACACTGGAAAGTTAATCCCCAATATCACGGTGTTGGGAGAGGTGTGGGTAAGAGGTAATTAAGGCATGAGGCTTCTGTATGCCTGCTGTGTTTGATAGAAAAGCAAGCTCAGCCTCTTGCTCTCATGTGTGCTCCCTGGCCTGTCCCTGCCCTGCCATGGGATGGCACAGCAAGTAAGCTCTCTGTAGATGCAAGGCCCATGACCTTTTCCTTCCCAGAATCTAGAGCTATAAAAAACTCCATTCTTTATAAAGTATCAAAGGTATTATATTATAGTGGCACAGAAAAAACTAAGGCAGTCACCGACTCTGACCACAAATTGCCTTGACATCTTCCAAATTACTCTCCACCTCCACAAACTCTATCCTAGCCCCAGGATGGAGTCACTGGGGCCTGAACCACTGAAATATCCTCTGACAAGTTTCCCTGCTTCTGTTCTGCCTCCTCCAGCCCACTTCTATACCAACAGCTGATCATAAAATAGGAACACAGATTTTCTTTCACCTCTGAAGCCCTGGAATGCCTATCCATTGCCTCTAGAGAGAGAGAAGAAAGTTATGAGCATGGTCCAAAGCCTTGCCATGGCTCTGTCTCCTTTCCAGCCCTTCTTACTCCACCTTTTATTGTTCACTGACTTCCAAACCAGTGACTTTCAAAATCAGTGTGCTGGAATGTCACCTGAAAGACCTGTTAAAACACAGACCTCGATATTTACACTGTATGACTAGTCAGAAGTCTCCCACTCAGCTGCCAACATCCTGCTCCTAGACTAGGCCAGTTTTCACTACTGGAGAGCTCCCAACTAGCCTGGATAAGAACCAGATGCTGGTGGGCTCCAGAACATTCTACTGAACTAATCAGATACCTTCCCACTTGGTCACCATCTTCGGGCACTGGCACTAGTCCTGGAAAGTTCTTCACCTCCAGACTAGCCTGATTAGCTAGCTAGAATCAGTCCACCTCACATTTATCTCTATACTTAAGTCCTAAAATGTAAATATTTACCTCCCACATGGACTGGCACAGAACAATCCCATCCCTCTAATAAAAAATGAAAAGTGAGAACCTAAAGCACAGACCAACCATTCATAACTAATCAGAAAGCAACCAAGCTACAACAACAATAAAAACAGAACCAAACTGCAACTCAACAAAGACTGACTATAATTTTGTGTCAGACACATCATCAACAAAAAAAAGCCCACATGCTCAGGTCATGAGGCAAAAACACAAATAATATGAAAACCAAGATGATATTTTCCCTCCAAATCCCACCAATCCTATAGAAGTGTTCTACAATGAGATCTACCCAAAGGAACTCCAGGTCATAGAGCTTAAAGTAACTATAATAAACATGATCTAAGAATTCAAGTATTTTAAAATATTTTATTTATTATTTTTATTTTATATGTATGTGTGTATTGCCTGCATGTAGGTAAGTGCAACTGGATTCTGCAATGCCCACGGAGGACAGAAGAGGCTGTTGGATCCCCTGGAATTGGAGTTACAGACAGTTGTTAGCTGCCATGTGGGTGCTGGGATTCGAACCAGGCTCTTCTGTGAGAAGAGTCAGTGTTCTTAACCGCTGAGCCATCTCTCCTGCCTAGAATTCAAGTATTTTAAAGAACACACAAAGAACTTAAAACCCTCAGAGGATAAGAATAAACTCCTGACTGAGGCTCAAGAAAGCACAAACATTTAGCTGAATAAAATGACAAAGACAATTCATGATTCCAAAAGTGAATTCATGAAATCAATATAAATATTGAAGAAAGCTCAAGATGAAATGAAGATGAAATTGAAAAACTCAATAAGACATTTTGAAACAACAGGAGAAAGCCTTGTCAACAGAATGAGTCAAATGGAAATAAGAGTATCAATACTGGGAGACAAAGCAGGAGAACTGGACCACTCAAGCCAGTAATGTGATAAATTAAAAAACACAGGAATGGAATATGCAGAAAATGTGGAACACCATGAAAAGACCAAATCTATGCATTTGGGTGGAGAAGCAGCTCAGGTTAATGGCATTGACCAGATCTTCAACAGGATTACAGAAGAACACTTTCCTAAGTTGAGGAGAGACCCATACAGATACAAGAAGCACACTGAACATAGACAGTACCAGAACAGAAGTTCCTCATGGCATACTGTAATAAAAATGCTAAATGTACAGAACAAAGAGAGGTTACTGAAACTGCAAGAGAAAAGCAACAAGCTTCAAACACATGGAAACACATCAGAATTACAGCTGACTTTTCAACACAAATTATAAAAGCCTGAAGAGCCTGGAACAATGTATTCCAAGTTCTAAATGACCATAGATGCTAATCCAGAAAAACTATCTATCACAGTCGAATGAGAAAGAAAAAAGTCTTCCATAATACAAATAGGATGAAAGAATTCATATCCACCAAGCCAGCCTTACAGAAAAGTCTCAAAGTAACACAAAGGCCTTGAAAAAAGGAATGACCATACTCATGAAACTACAAAAAGAAAAGAAATAAAGTTACATTTATGGAAACACAAAATAGAACTAAGAATACAAACAAAATAGAATGACAATAACCAATATACATCTTTCTATAACTTTAAATACCAATGTTCTCAACTCTAACAGCCAAAAGTCACATGGTAGTGGAATGAATTAAGAAACAAAATTCAACTTCTTGTTGTCTGTAAGAAATCCATCTTACCTTCAAGTACAGGCACCACCTTAGGGAGAAAGGATGGAAAACAATATTTGAAGCAAATTGCAACAATAAACAAGCAGGCATTGCTGTTCTAATATCTGGAAAAACTTGAAAATAGAATTAATCAGTAGAAATAAAGGTCACTTCATTCTGATCAAGGAGAAATTGACCAAGAAAAGATCACAATCATGAACATATATGCACCAAACTTTGATGTACCCAATTTCATAAAAAGTGTACTACTAGACTTCAAGTCATAAATCAGTTCCAACTCAGTAATAGTAGGTGACTTCAGTACCCCGTTTGTCCAATAGAGAGGTCATCTGGACAAAGAATAAACAGAAAAATATTTGAATTAATGATATCACACATCAAATGCACCTAACAAATGCCAAAAATTACACATTCTATTCAGTAGGCAATGGAAGTTTCTCTAACATAGGCCACATACTGGGGCACAAAAAAACTTCAAAAAATATATTTAAAAAAGGGCTGGAGAGACGACTCAATGATTAAGAGCACATGCTGTTCTTGCAGAAGACATGGGTTCAAATCTTAGCACACACAGGGTGGTTAATAACCTTCTGTAGTTCCAGTTCTAGGTGATCTGGTGCCCTCTTCTGCCCTCCACAGGCAGTGCATGACACAGGTGTACTTACATACGTTCAGGCAAAAGCTCATAAAAATAAAAGAAAAATTAAATAAAAATAAAATAAAGAACACAAAAAACTGAAATATTTCCATGTATTCTATCAGACCACAATGCAATAATGCTTGAAATCAACAGCAAAAGATGCTCTAGTAACTACATGAACTCATAGAGATTAAACAACACCCTCCTGAATGGTAAATGTGTAAAAGGAGAAATCAGTAAATAAATAAAAGTATTCCTGAAATGAAATGAAAAATGGAAACAACACAACGAAATCTCTGGGACACATTAAAAACAGTCCTAAAAGGGAAGTATATTGCTCTAAGAACAACATGAAAAAAAAATCAGAAAAAGCATAAATAAATGACTTAATTGTGTGACTCAAGAATTTGGAAAAGCAAAAGCAAACCAAACACAAACCTGGCAGACAAGAAGAAATAGTAAAAATCAGAGCAGAAATCAATGAAGGAACAAAGGAAACAATACAAAGAATCGATGAATCTAAGAGCTGGTTCTTCAAAAAGATTAACTAGATTAACTAGACAGACATTTATCCCAGCTAACCAAAAGAAAGAAAGAGCAAATCCAAATCAACAAAATCAGAGACAAAAGGAGTAACATCACAACAGACACTAAAGAGATCCAGAGCACTGTAAAGGGAGGGAGAACTTCCAAACCCCTTCTATGAAGCCAATATTACTCCAGTACCAAAACCAAGTAAAGATTCAACAACAAAAAAACTATAGGCCCGTATTCCTAATGAACATAGATGCAGAAATTTTCAACCAAGTACTTGCTAATCACATTCAGATGCATATCAAAGACATCATTCATGATGATCAAGTTGACCTTTTTCCAGTGATGCAGGGATCGTTCAATATTCATAAGTTAATAAATGTAGCAGGTCATAGAAACAGACTTAAAGACAAAAATCACATGATCATGATCATTTCAATAGTTTCAGAAAAGGCCTTGACAAAATTCAGTACTCATTTATGATAAAAGTCTTAGTGGGACTTGGACTAAAGGGAACATACCTCAACATAATTAAGACCATATGCAACAAACCCAGAACCAACATCATTCTAAATGGATAAAAACTCAAGTATTCCTATTAAAATCAGTAACCAGCCAAGGCTGTCCACTATTCCCACTGCTTTTCAAGGCAGTGTTTAAAATTCTTGTGTGACCAGGAAGACAAGAGGAGGAAATTAAGGGGATACTAATTAGAAAAGAAGAGGTCATATCCCTATTTGCAGGTGGTATGATATTATACATAAGAGGTCCCAAAAATTCTACCAGAAGACTTCTAGAAATGATCAAAATTTTCAGAAAAATGGTAGGATATCAACTTAAAAAATCACTAGCCTTTCTATAGATCAATAACAAGAAGTCAGAGAAAGAGATCAGAGAAATACCTTCATTCATAATACCATGAAAGAAAGGAAGGAAGGAAGGAAGGAAAAAAGGAAACTATCTAGGAGTAAACCTAACAAAAATCATTAAAGATCTTCACAATAAAATCTTGAAATCTTTGAAGAAAGAGATTGAAGACAAAGAGATGGAATGACTTTCTGTGCTCATGAATTGGTAGCATTAATATTGTGAAAATGATCATCCCATCAAATACAGTTTATAAATTCAATACAATCTCAATCAAAATCCCCTTGACATTCTTCACTGAAAAAAATCATAAATTCATATGGAATCACAAAAGACCCCAGATATCCAAAGCAATCCTGAACACAAAAAGCAGTACTGGAGGGATTACTATACCAGATTTCAAACTATATTACAGAGCCGTAGTTACAAAATCAGCATGGTATTGGCACAAAACAGGCATATAGATCAATGGAACAAAAGAGAAGACTCAGACATAAGTGGACACAATTTTATCCAACTGATATTTCACAAAAGCTCCAAGAATACGTGTTGGAGGGAAGAAAGCATCTTCAACAAATTATGCTGGGAAAACTGGACCTCCATGATTAGACCCATACATATCGCCCTGCACAAAAATCAACTCCAAGTGGATTAAAGACCACAGTGTGAAACTTGGAATACTGAAACTGTTAGAAGAGAACACAGGCAGGACCCTACAAGGTACAGGTACAGGAAAAGACTTTCTAAACTGGATGTCAGTTGCTCGGGAATTATGGTCAACAACTGACAAATGGGGTCTCATTAAACTCATAAACAGCAAAAGCAGCAACCAATGAAGCGAAGAGGAAGGTCACAAAGTGTGAGGAAATCTTAAGAAGCTACACATCTGAGAAAGGCTGATGTCCAGAATATACAAAGAACTACAAAACCAGAAAGCCAAGAAAACAAATGAAACAGCAACAACAAAAAAATGGGCTATGGATCTGAACAGAGAGCTCTCAAACAAAGTAATATAAATGGCTAAGAAATGCCTTATTAATCCCAGCACTCGGGAGGCAGAGGCAGGCGGATCTCTGTGAGTTCAAGGCCAGCCTGGTCTGCATAGTGAGTTCCAGGACAGCCTGGTCTACATAGTGAGTTCCAGGACAGCTGGGGCTACAGGGAGACCCTGTCTCAAAA